ATTTATTCCTCACAGCCTTGTGAGGGGGGCACTGGTCATAGTCATGTTACCACAAAGGGGACCCACACCCAGAGTGTGTGCGACTTGCTCAGAACCTCAGTACATGGGGTGTGAATCCAGGTAGTCTGGCTCCAGCATCCTGAAATATATATATATATATATATATATATATATATATATATATATATATATATATATATATATTAGAGGCCCAGTGTATGAAATTTGTGCATGGGGAGGGATGTTGTCCCTCAGCCCAGCCTGCACCCTCTCAAATCTGGGACATCTCTCTCACAATCCAGGACTGCTGGCTCCCAACTGCTTATCTGCCTCTGCCTGATTGCCCCTAACCACTTCTGCCTGAAAGCCTGATCACCCCTGAACCACTCCCCGCCAGCCTGGTCAATGCCTAACTGCTCCCCAGCCAGCTCAATTGTCCCTAACTGCCCTCCACTGTAGGCCTGGTCACCCACAACTGCCCCCCCCCCTGCAGGCCTGGTCCACCTCAACTGTCCTCCACTGCACCCTGGTCTCCTCTAACTGGCCTCCCTGCTTGCCTAATCACCCACAACTGCCCTCCCCTGCTGGCCTGGTCCCCCAACTGTCCTCCCCTACAGGCCTGGTCCCCCCCAAATGCTCTCCCCTACAGGCCTGGGTCCCCTCCAACTGTCCTCCCTTGCTGGCCTAATCTCCCCAACTGCCCTCCTCTGCCACCTGGCCACCTACAAATGCCCTCCTCTGCTGGTCTGGTCACCCCTAACTGCCCACAATTGCCCTCTCCTGTAGACCATCTTATGGCAGCCATCTTGTGTTCACAGGGGGGAAGCCATCTTTGACCACATGGGGGCGGCCATCTTTGACCACATGGGGGCGGCCTTGGAATGACAGACATTGGCATATTACTCTTTTTATTAGATAGGATACAGAGGAAAAACTCCCCAATGGTGAGCTTCACACCCTGTGGGTCAAATGACGCAGCGTCAACCAGAAGGCCGACCAAACCTCCCTCTGAGCAGGATTCTGACACTGTGGGCCCACAGTCCTGCTCATGACCATGCGTGTTTGTAGCAATCTCGGGGTCAGAGAGAGGAAGGGAGAAGGAGAGAGAGCTAGAAACACCAATGATGAGAGTAAATCATTATCTGCCTCCTGCACATCCCCAACAAGGGAACAAGCCTGCAAAACAGGCATGTGCCTTTGACCAGAATCTAACCTGGGGTCCTTTGTCTGTAGGCCGATGCTCTATCCACTGAGCCAAACCAGACAGGTCCCCAGTGTCCTCTTAATGACTTTGCTACACTGACAAAACCAAACAAGTAAATGGTCAGGATGATTTCAATGTCCACAACGGCCAATAAGAAAATAAACCTGGGTGTAGTAATGGGGATTGGGGTTGGAGTAGCCATACATTCGATGGTCAGATAAAGGCTCTGAAGGGGAGGACAAGGGTGACAGTAAGAGCCAGGCCCTGCAGAAGGGGGATCATGTTGTCACCCACACAATCTCTATTGAGCCCAGAGTGGTAGTGCTCAGCTCACGGTCACTTATGAACACTTTGTCCATGACCAAGCATGTACCTCACCCTGAGTCCCTGTCACCACCCCCAACCAATATTCCTCAGTGAGGGGTGTGCAGAGTAAGGCAACTGGATATAGGCTGGGGTGGGGATGGGGAGGTAGGGGCCGAGGCTGCTAACAGCAGGATGCTGGGAATTTCAAGCACTGGGTCTCCTGGTTTCTATTTAGAAACTCACACACTCACACATGCACAAAGACCCCAAATCATATGCACACAATTCCTCACTCATGGTTTCACCCGTGCGGTGCCTACCTCTGATATTCGGCAGAGATGTTCCAGACCCAGACCCATTGCCTGAAGCCAGGAGGCATTCACACCCTGGACATGCAGAGGGAAGGATTTGGGTCAGCAGTTGCATTTTACTAGTGGGCCATGAGCAGCTGAAGGAGATATCGATATTTGGGATCTGACATTGTGGAGTTAACAGGATCCCCTTTACCTGGTGAAGGGCTATACAGATGGTGAAGCCCTGGCCCCCTGGCGCCTGTAAAGGTAAAAGGCAGGCAGAAAGCTAATAGGATGGTTGTGTTTCCTTGAGCGGTTTCCAAAACTGGCCAAACATCTGGATCACCTAGGGATCTCACCACGGTGAAGAACTCTGAGCTTTTGATGCACTGGGTCCAAAGCTAAACCAACTTGGACTTATGACTCTGCCAAGCCTTCCAGGTAGCTCTGCTGGCATGCCTCTGAAGAGCCATATAAGATGGCACTCAAGATTACAAAGACAACATCACTTTGCAACGTTCACTTCCCGACACCCCCATGCTGACAATTTGTCTCTTCTTGGTTAACGGGAAATGAATCTCTGATTCTTGGCAGGTTCTAACGCACAGATCAGTTGCACAATTATGACAAACAACCTTCCAGGTCAGAGGCCCTCTGCCACGTGCAAATACAAGTCCAGGTCTGCCAGTGACCCGGCGCTGGTGAATGTCTGATGGCCACACAGAGGGAAGCAGGAAGCCCAGGATAGAGGAATGCGAATGCTAGACCATTAGCAGGTATCTCAAGTCCCCATCCTCTGGTGTGGGCATGGCTGAGAGTGAAAACAGCAGAGCCACAAGGCTCCATAGAAAGATGATCCTGCAGGAGGGAGGACCTGCAATTCCAGGTGCAGCCTAACTGGAGCTGGGCCATGAACTTTGAAAGCTTTCGTAGCTGCTTCCCTTCTGGTGGCAGAAACAAACTTCACTGGCTGGGTCTATACTCTCTCAGGAGATCATGGACTTACATGTACTTTAAATTCCAGGTTCCCAATTTTAGAGCAAGGTGAACTCGCCATTCTAACTTACTCGGTGTAGCTGTTGATGGACTTGAAAAACAGGTGATCCGTGGTCAGGCAACAATGACTTTGCACAAAATGGCAGGTAACCAAGACTGAAAACAGTTCTGGTATCCTGCAACGTTTGCTCCTGAAATGGGCCCCATGGATCTGAATCTGTGTGACCATTGACTCCTCAGCTTTAGCAGGGAGAAGCCTTGACAGAGCAATTTAGATATAGAGATTGAGGCCACTCAATGCATTAGGCAGGGACATGCTTCCCAACCTTGCATTTCCCACCAACCTACTGCCTCTCCTCCAGTCTCAACATGGCACAGACACCCAGGCCTTGTTCTCCCTGGGGCACAACCCTGGAGTCAGGGCCCAGGCTCCACAGAGGTCTCAGCACCTGCCTCCTGTTCAGGAATGTGCTGAGCCATGGCCTTCGGGTCCTCACTCTTTGTAAGAGGCAGCAGAGAAAATTGTAGCTCAGATAGATCTGTGAATTTCTTTGTCCAAAAGCCAGCTTGAGGAGGGATATGGCAAACAGTGGGGCTCAAGAGGTCACTCAGTCCTCCCCATTCCTGAAGCCGTAGGGGAATGAGCTGCTTAAGACCAAAGGCCTATTCTTGGAGCCCCTGATTTCATTAGGTCCCCTGTTCATGAGATGTCATCATCGTATATCCCTGTGTGAAGGGAACTGCCTGCCCTTTGCCCCTGAAGGAGTGGGAGAGGCTGTCTGGAGAGGCTCCTTGAATCCACATGTCCTTCTTGTTCCAGGTCCTGGGAAGCCTGGATGAACTGTAGTTACTGCCTTTAGACTCTCATGAAAATAGTGTATCTTTACATTTATGCCACCCTCACTGGAGCTAACTTGCATGGGTTCCACTACTTATTGATAAGAATTGGGAAGTGAATTTCAGGGAGGTGGTTGCCTCAATCCTAGATGAAGGCAGAATCGTGGTGGGCAGATACATTTAGAGAGAGGAGCTCTGAAAAGACGATCAGGTGTGACGTCAGGGGAAGAATAGGCAGAGGAGAAGGCTGGAAGGGGAATGGAAGAAATTGAGCTTGTCCTGTAGATTTTTATTGTTCCCCTGATGATTACATACTGGGAAACAATCTATGTGAAGTACATGACTGTCTTCTACAATTTTATATCTAAAGATACCTGTGGTGTGCTCCAGACTCTGACAGGAGGAAGGTTTTAATATACATTGTACTGATTTTCTTTTTTTTCCCCATCAGTAAAGTTTTATTAGACCACAGTTACTATCAGTCCACACTATCAATACGTGTGTATTGCCTGTGGCTGCTTTCACAGCAAAGCAGTGGAGTAGAGAAGCAGCAACAGAGGTGGGATGACCCATACAGCCCCAGATATTTTCCATCTGGCCCTTTGCAAAATGCATTTGGTGATTCCTGTTTTAAGGTGCTGTCTCACTAGCTCTAGGATGTGCTCTTTGGTTTCTCCAAAAGATTAGAATGAAATCAAAATGATTTTTGAAATTCCTGAGCATCAGTGAACAACAAGCTGTTGAAAGGGAGGCATTCCTTCCAAGTGTTCTGCAGTAACATTGTGCTGATTTTCTTTCATCTCTGATACTTCTATTATAGAGAAAGGACAAATAGCAATATTTTTCTCTAATTAATTCCCTTTTAATGTGCATGAATTTTGTGTACCAAGGTCACTAGTGAGCAAGAAAGGCTATCCATGTCACAGATAGGACTGGGCTCTCCATGGGGAGGGACCGAGGGCATCTAGTGGTGGCAGCACTTGGACAAAAGGAGTTGGGTATCTTGGAGGCTGAGGTCCACTGTTGACTGACACAGATGTGGCCCTCCATGAATTTCTGTGGTGGGCCTCAGTGACCTCACGGAGAAAGGAGAGGGCTGGACTGGCCCTTTCCATGGTTTCACTGTGACCCAGTGCCATGCTCTTAGGTAAGACAGAGGGTGTCCTCTGCCAACAACTGGACCAGAAACCTTCATGTCAACCTCTTTTCATTCCCTAATCCCCATTATCAAACCCATTCCTTCATTTTCCTCTCATCCCCACCAAAGAATGAGTCAACACTGGGCATGAGGAAAACATCACTGAATTTTCTTTTAGGGCAGCAGAAAGCTCAGCAGAGCCAAGGAGGGTTGAGGGACCACCTCTTCAGGCTGGAAATTCACAGACGGCCACGTGGGAGGAAGAGCATGAGATGTCATTCCACACCCCATCCTTGAGAAGGATCACACAGTCCTCCCCTGAGCCAAAGTTATTAGGCTCATTCTTCTTCCAGTTGCTATAGGTCAGCCTCCCTCCTGTCAAATAAACAAACTGGCCTTCCGTCGCTTCATCTGTGATGCCCAGGAAGGCATGGTCCTTGGCCACTTCCATGATGGCTTTATTCTCCTCAGCATTCTTAGGAGTGGCCACGGTGGCCTGGAGCTCAGTGCACAGAGCCTTCACTTTGGAAAAAGGCATCTTTTCACCGTTGGTCACATAGAGCTTCTTTCCAGATCTCTTGCCCAAGGAGAAGGCTTGCACTGAAATCACAAAGGGTGGGTGGGATTGACTTGGCCTGGAGCCCAGGCCAGTAGGTGACCAAGCCCTTGTCAGAGCATCAGGACTCTGAAAAAGAGCTCATGTGCAACCCCTCAAGTCAGGTCCTAATGAGGAGGAGCTCCTCAGCGTGGATAAGGCTCTGAGGGAGAACTTGCCTCTTCTGGGGGAGATGTGCTGGAGATAGTCCCCGGCACACTGCCCCAGTGCAGGTGGACAGGGAATCGGGAGTGGGCCCTGCTGCCAGGCTTGGATGCCAGGACAGAAAGGGGCAGGGTCAGCCATCTGAGAACAGTGGGTGCTGAGGAAAGAGTGAAGATTTGGAGGCTTCGGACTTCCATGAAATCTTTTCTTTGCTGTTTCCCCACCTGGGTGATGTTGATTGAATTATCTGCAACTCCTATTTCCTCTCACTTGTAAATTAAATAAGCATAATGGTCACAAACAGCAGTGACGAGAGGACAGAATGAAACCATATTGTGAGAACATGCCATCCTAGCACAGGCCCTGGTATATAACCGTGTTCACAATTGTCAGTTCTCCTCCACCCTCCTGAAAGCCCAGAGTGCTCAAGGACAGAGGGAGAGCAGGAACCCAGTGGGGCAGGAAGAGGCTTACATTTTTTGATGTGGTTCAGTTCTGTTTCCAAGCTCCTCAGCTCTTTCTCTAAGTTAGCCAACTTTGTCTCCATAGCTGCAAAGCAATAGGAGAAGGGCAGATACTGAGAAAAAGACCCTACATTCAAGGACAAAGTATTTTGGGGGGAATGAAAGTTTATTAAGAAGTACTAGAGGCCCAGTACATGAAATTCGTGCATGGGTGGGGGTGTTCTCAGCCCAGCCTGCACCCTCTTCAATCTGGGACCCCTCGAGGGATGTCCAACTGCCTGGTAGGATCGGGCCTAAATGGGCAGTCAGACATCCCTCTTACAATCCAGGACTGCTGGTTCTCAACTGCTCACCTGCCTGCCTGCATGATTGCCCCTAACTGCTTCTGCTTGCCAGCCTGATCACCCCTAACCACTCCCCTGCCAGCCTGATTGATGCCTAACTGCTCCCCTGCCAGCCTGATTACCCCTAACTGCCCTCCCCTGCAGGCCTGGTCACCCCCAACTGCCCTCCCCTGCAGGTGTGGTATTCCCAACTGCCCTCCCCTACTGGCCATCTTGTGGCAGCCATCTTGTGTCCACATGGGGTAGCCATCTTTGACCACATGGGGGCAGCCATCTTGTGTGTTGGAGTGATGGTCAATTTGCATATCACTTTTTTATTAGATAGGATGCTTATTCCATAAAAATAAGAAAACAAAAGGAAGTGAAAAAACAAAACATAACTGAATTCCTGCCTTCTCAGACAATTCATAACTCTTATAAGCTGTAACTCTGAAACTAGCAATAACAATAGCAGTAATGGTAACTTGGAAATTGTAGCTCTGGATCCTTTTCTTCCCATACTGCTTAAATACTGTTATATTATACTCATTTATAGGAAAAGACCGAAGTCATTCTTCTTTTTGAAAAATTTTCTTAATCATGCTTTCATTTCTTATTCCAGGCAAGCTCTTTATCATTCTTATAATAATGATGGGCCAGTGGGCAAATATTTATGTGAGGTCATCAGTTTTGTTTTGTTGGTACTATTTACTTTATTTCACTTCAGATAAATGTATTTAGTTACTCTATTCATTACTTTATTGACCAGGGATCTTGTGAAGCAGACCATCTTCATGCTACTCTTGTGACAACAGGCTTAAACCCAACCCCTGAGGGGACCGGTTTCCTCCTGTGCATCCTAGAACCTGGAATTGGCTGCTCCGGCTGAGAGAGCTGGTCCCTCTGCAGGATATGTGAGGAGTGTCCGGCAGGGTTGCAAGTCTGTTCTCAGGCGCCTGTGAGAATCCCTTCAGGCCCCAAGTAGGACTGGGTCAGGAAAGCAGAGGTGAGGTCTGCCAATGGGGCAGCAGAGAAGCCCGCACCCCCCACCCCACCTGGCCCTCGAGTTCCCGGGCTGGGCCCCTCAGCCCACACTGTGCTGAGATGAGCTCCTTACCTGAACTGTCTCCAGGATCTCCTTTTTGGCCCTTCACTCCTGGCGGCCCAGGAGCCCCTCTACTTCCTGGAGGCCCCAGTTTCCCTGGAGGACCCTGCAAGCCTCGGAGCCCCTGCCCTGTTGGAAGATGAAGGACATGTGGCCCAGTGTGTGTCACTCATTCTCTTCCTCCAAAAGCTCAGCACTAGATTCACATTGACTCCAGAAACCACCAGCAAATTAGTGGTGACCTGAGAAAGAAAGACCTGCCTCCAGCGCCAGCTGCCCAACTATAGATACTGCCTCTTCCCTGACAACCACACCCCACCGATTCCTGCGAGGAATGTGGGAGCCAGGTCACAGCAGTGTCTTTGTTTAGGAGAGAATGACAATGTACAAGAATTATCCTGAGTGATTCATGCCCATCAGCATGTAAGGGGAGCCTGCTCATGGCTCTGTCCCAGATCCCTCTGAGGAGTAAAGATTCAAGAAGTCAGACCAGCCTCGGGTACCTGGTTCTCCTTTTTCTCCCTTGGCTCCATCTCGCCCGTCTCTGCCTGGGGTGCCATTGGTAACCGGGATGCCACAGGCAATCACTGAGCAGGCCTTCTGGGCATCTTCACAGGTTGTGGGTTCTGAGAAGGACACTGTCACCACACACAGAAGGGTGGGAAGTGATAAAAACCAGAACATGATCCTCATCTGGTATGGAGAGAGTGCAGGGAAAGAATTTCATCTCATCCTGTGAGCCAACATTCGCTACCACCTCTGGTGTGTTGGACCCTGTGCTGAGGACAGCAGACACACCAGCTGTGACTCTGAGTTTCTCCCAGGCTACTAAGGAGACAGACAAGTCAGTTAGAATTCTATCAGTGCTAAAGCCAAAGTAGATGCAAGAGGACTTGGTAGGAGCCCATTCTCCATGGGCCTCCAGTGCCCCCATGGGTATAAGGCTTAGGCCGTGAGGCAGGCCCTATGCATGAGAGCCTGCAGGGTCTGGAAATGACCTATATCTGCTCCTGGTGGCCTGGCACAAAGGCAGTGAACTTCGGCTCTTCTCTCAACTCCAGTCTGTGAGGACCAAGCGGACTTCAGTTTCCCTCTTGTTCCCTTCCTATGGACCTGAGAGTTAGACTCAAACTATAGCACGAGACCCAAGCTCCCACAAGGCCCATTTCTTGGCAGGACTTGGTTATGACATCCATTCTCTCATTTCACATAACAATCCCTTTTACGCTTCAAGGTTCACTAACCTCAGAACCACAGTTGTTTCCCTAAGCCTGTCAATCATTTCATCTATGATTTTTTTAAAAATATATTTTATTGATTTTGTACAGAGAAGAAGGGAGAGAAATAGAGAGTTAGAAACATCGATGAGAGAGAGTCATCGATCAGCTGCCTCTTGCACACCCCCTACTGGGGATATGCCCGCAACCAAGGTACATGCCCTTAACCGGAATCGAACCTGGGACCCTTCAGTCCCCAAGCCGACGCTCTATCCATTGAGCCAAACCGGTCTCGGCTCATCTATGATTTTTTACTCTATAACAGGCCTTTGCTGGTGCTCAGAACCCAGAGGCTGGGCTCTGACCCTCCCAAGGAACCTTCTTTGATCATTGATCTTGGCTACATAAGACTTAGATTTGCACCGGGACCGGTTTGGCTCAATGGATAGAGCGTCGGCTTGGGGACTAAAGGGTCCCGGGTTCGATTCCGGTCAAGGGCATGTACCTTGGTTGCGGGCATATCCCCAGTAGGGGGTGTGCAAGAGGCAGCTGATTGATGACTCTCTCTCATGGATATTTCTAGCTCTCTATCTCTCTCCCTTCCTCTCTGTACAAAATCAACAAAATATATTTAAAAAAAAAAAAGACTTAGATTTGCTTTCTTCCCTTGGTTTGGAGTTTTCTCTTGTGAGGCATTTATTTATTTTTATTTCTTGCCAGCCAGAACCAAGCTCCTACAATTTCTGTTTATACTCGGCCTGGCCTGATTTCAGCTCATTCTTCTTCTCCTGGTAGGCTTCTCTGCCTTCTGTCTAGAGGCCCCCCAGCTCTGTACCCCCATCCTGTTGTCAGAGTTCCTTCCAGTCTTTGCTCAAGCTGGTCCCTGTTCCAGAAAGTCTTCGTAGCTCAGCCCCATGGGCCTCTCCCTCTGCTCTTCTCTGGCCACTAATCTCAATGTTGCTGGATACTGTTGCACAACTACCATCTGCTCTTACCTACCCCACAGCTCCCTGAACCCTTCCCTCCCTCCAGAACGCAATGAGAAGTAGTGAGCTGGAAGGAAACTTTATCACATTTTCTCCACCTTTCCTTTTTCTATCTTCTCTCACCCCGTCTACCCCCCTTCCCTGATTATACCAGAGACCAAGGTCAAGTTTAAACATACCCCACTTCCGTTCTTCCCTTTGACTGAAAAGACCACCTTTTAGTTTGCTGATAGTCAACTGGATCCAAGAAGAACATAAATGGCACAGTTCAGAGAGAGACTGAAGCCCTGAGTGGGCCTGACAGCCCCACCAATGCCCCTGCCTGGACCTCACGAGGATCAAGTCAAGTGGCCAGACTCTTGGCCCAGGACTCTACCTTTGTCCTCCAGAAATGACTTACTGGGGCCTCCTCAGAGCACGAAGGCTGTGGCAGGGAAGCTGTCCTCTAGCCCAGGCCTCTGGCAGATGCCTCAGCAATGTCAGGCCAAATTAGCCTGGTGACCGGGACAATGCTTGACTGGCCTTTACCCCAAGTTAATAAACAACCATTATTAGAACTCCTGTATGCTGGGCAGCTCTCCAGGACTGATGGTGGGCCCTTCAGCCACACTGGGCAGCTCTCTAATACCCTAAACTCCTCCTTCTATTGGCCCCTCCCATGCTTCCTATAGCTCAGCAACTGACCCTCTAGAATCACAGATTCTCAGGCTATTTTCCTACAGACATTTTTTACAGAAGCGACAAGCATAGACATTCTACCAAACACATGCTCACGTGTGCGCATGCACACACACAAGAACACACCTCTGTATCTGTAGTTCAACCTCCATTTGTGTTTAGTCTACTGACAACACTGATTCCCCTCTTTCCAACCTTCTCATTCAGAACACTTATCAAATGTCTTCCTTGGGCATGTCACAGGGCTAGGCACAAGGAGAAGTATTTGTAGGTAAGTTACATTCAAAGCTGAAATGTGGCATTTGCACTCGCTGTTCCAGCCCAGGACACTTGACTCTATCTTTGCAAAATTGTTTGTTGTCATTCTGATTTCAGCTTAAACATTATCTCTAGAGAAAGGTCTTTTCTTAACCATTTAACTTTAAGTAGCCACTCTATCAAAATTGCAATTCTCCGCCTGTAATTTACATCTGCAACATAATCTTTATTTGGTTGCGTATTTAATGGCCACACGATTCCTTAGAGCAGAAGTCCTGTTCATCAGCTGTTGTATCCCCACCTAGAAGAGTGCCTGGAAACAGAGTCAATAGTCAATAGACATCAATGGAACAACTGAATCCCTAGCATCATGTCCTCTAAGCAGCCTTCTTGATTTCTCTCCAGCCAGCGTGAACATTTGGGGCATTGTTTCAGTATACTCACTTTTCTAAGAACATTTGATTCAGCTCCTTGTCTCCAGGGTGCAACCCAGGGCTAGGTACACAGAAGGACGTGCTGAGATAGTGAGGAGAGAAGCGGAGACCATGAGTGAGGCAGATACCAGACCAGTCCATGGCTCCTCCAGGCCTGGGTTTCCAGGGGTGTCCAGTTCTTATAGTCAAAGCCTGACCAAGTCACCTTTTCCAAGTCCCTGACGTGACCTTTGATTCCCGCCCTCCCCGAAACTTACACTCACTCTCTGAAGCACTTAGTCTTATCAAATAACTCAAAAGGTTTTGGTTTTCCCTGGTGAGGAACAGGGACTGCTCTTGCTTTGATCTTGCTTTGTGATTGGTGTTTTGACTTTTCAAAAGTCATCAGTCCTGTGTATTCAAGTCCTCATGCCTGTTCAGCAGTCCTCCAAGGTTCCTGTTGTAAAGGAGCCTGCCAGGCACTATGAGTGGCCCTTTGTGAAGAAGATCCTTCTCAAGGCTATGTTTCCTGATGCCATTGACACAACTTTGAAGGGCCAATAGGTTCAGAGGACAAGGGTTATTCAACCCATTTAGCAAATGAGCAGACCTTCCAGAGAGGTAGAAATTTGAAACTGAGTGACTACATAAAACCAGGACTCTGTATGTGTTATAGACTTAGAGGAAGGGGAGCTTGGGACAGAGGGAGGGATGTGCCCGGTCAGCTAAGGCATAATTAGAAAGCTTTGACTCTGTGCACACATTTCTACAAGTCCGTATTCTCATAGATTGGAGGTTTGAGTGTATGCTATTATTGTTGTGTGCTATAATTGTTATTAATGCATTTTTCTGTTTATGTCAGGATGAAAATTTGTTTTTCAAGGGTCTCAGCTCATCACAACCTAGTGTGCCATGGGGACATAAAAGCAATGGAGGACCTTACCCTTAACCCAGGATTTGTTCAGATGGAATCAGGTAAATTTGAGTTTTGCAAAAATTGGCAAACCCAGTAGGAAATAAACAGAGTGAAAGCTGATTGAGACGACAAGCCTCAGAAATAGTCTTCTAGCAAGGAAAATCACCAACAAAATGAAAATACAACCCACTGAATGGGAGAACATATTCACCAAGAGTACATCTGATAAGGGGTTAATATTAGAAATTTATAAAGAATTTACATGGCTCAACATTAAAAACAATCAATCCAATTAAAAATGAGCAAAGAACCTGAATAGACACTTCTTCAAAAAGGATGTACAGATGGGCAATAAACGTACAAAAAGAGTGTGTGACAGCATAGTTGAACCTGAAGAGTATTATGCTCAGTGAAATAAGCCAGTCAGATGTTTGGCTTGGCTGTGTGACAGTGAGCAGACATGAAGGGAGCAGTAGCTTCCAACATACTTATAAGTTTAACCTAGCCTCTTCTTGCTTTTTCTAATTATGGGAAGAATATGTCCCTGGTACCCACTAATATCAGAATAATTATATAACATGGAGTACCCACCTGAAAGCCTGAAGTAAAAACTGGCTATGAAAGTCCAGCCAAACATTAATGGTTAATAGCACAGTCTGACTTCCTGTATTTACAGTCCAGTTCTATCAGTAACTGGCTGCATGATCTTTGACAAATCACTTTAATATCTATTTTTATTCTTATTCTTATTTGTAAATTGGGGATAATAAGGCTAAAAAAGATGACATGAGTTAATACAAGTATAGTGCCTGGCACATACTAAGTGTGATGAGAGTATCAGCCATCAGTATTAGACCAAGGAAGATATATCCTAGAAATGAAAGGATGGTTCAATATTTTTAAAAAATGAATTCATGTAACTCATTAATTTAATATATGCTGAGTGGTCAGATTATTATATCTCTGTACCCATAAAAATCTGGCCACTCAGTGTATATCCTATATAATAAAAGGCTAATATGCAAATTGTCCCCTGGACCAGGAGTTTGACCAGCAGACATGCCGGCCAACCACCCATGTCCCCTCCCCCTGGCCAGGCTGACCAGATCCCACCCATGCACGAATTCAAGCACCAGGCTATATATATATATATATATATATATATATATATACACATATACACCGAGTGTTCAGATTATTATGCATTCAGAGATCATAATAATCTGGCTACTCAGTGTTTTACTGCAGATATATACAATCTTAAAATTTGAAGTTTAACTGGTCTCAAAACTAATACATGGTCTCAAAATTCTTCATACATTTTCTTTCTAGGGTTGATTTAAAACAGTCCAAATGAATAGTTCTCCAGTTTTGTCATTAAGATCTCAGTTTCATCTCTGATTCATCATTAATCTGGCCACAGAGTGGTGGCTTCTTAAAGTGAAGGGTGGGCAGGTCTTCTCTCTTACTGCTTTCCATATGTGGGGTGTAGAGAAAATGATGATTCCTGCTCATAGGAGGAACTGCATGTCAGTGGGGACAGTGCTGCTTCTTGGCCCATCCTGGCTGGTTGTTTGGTTCCTTTGATTACAAATGACAACCCTTCTCAAGAGCTAATTCTTCAGACAAGGGACCCTATAAGCCTCTAGCTGCACATTTCCTACCCTCCATATCATGTCAGTGGACATTTCAATTCATTGTCTCTTGTTCTTTGAGCCCCTGTGTCCCTGCTTCAAGAGAAGCAACTTGCTCACAACTAGGACTTAAACCCCAGCTGACTTCTATGACACTGGCATTCACAAAGCCCCAGGGAAATTCCATACAAGTGATGGACATCCACATTGCCTTCAAACACTCCTGTTCCCCGCTTTATTCTCCTCTTTTTTATCTCCCCATGCCTCAGCAACAGCAGTCCCTCTACTGGTTAAGTACTTCAGCAATTTCAGAACTGGGCATAATTCCTCCATTTCTACATTAGATGACTTAATTGAGGAAGGTGAAGCAATTGGGCATCCCTACTTGCAAAGATTAGGAAGAGGACAGTACAGTCTCCTCCTGAACCTTGCAGGGAGTGAAGAGGAAGGGATAACTTCTACCCAAGGTGCATCAGCCTTCTTTCCTCTCTTTATCCCCCCTTATACTGACGGGGGGGGGGGGGATTGCTAAATCACTCATGCTGAACAGCCCCCTCCTTGTAGGTTCCATAGTGGGGTCCCTGGGGCATTTCTCCAATCTTAAAAGGTGAGGTACTTAAAGCCTCTCAATTTCCCCTGTGGGCTCCACATGCTGGAACCCAGGAATTCAAGATGACTCAATCCATACTAAACATCAGTTTAGTGTTACTAGACTAAAGGAAATGCCAAAAATAATCTGATATAATTCAATACATGTTAATGATTAAAATGAGTCACAGCAAACTAGAAAAAAAAGAGGGAACTTCTTTTCCTTGATAAAAGGTATCTATCAGCCGAAACCGGTTTGGCTCAGTGGTAGAGTGTCGGTCTGCGGACTGAAAGGTCCCAGGTTCGATTCCGGTCAAGGGCATGTACATTGGTTGCAGGCACATCCCCAGTAGGGGGCGTGCAAGAGGCAGCTGGTTGATGTTTCTCTCTCATAGATGTTTCTAACTCTCTATCCCTCTCTCCTTCTCTCTGTAAAAAATCAATAAAATATATTTTTTTAAATAAAAAATAAAATAAAAGGTATCTATCAGACTTAAAACAAGCAATATTTTCAATGGTGAAATATTGAAAGTATTCCCATTTATATATTCAGGGCCACCCAAAAAAACATAAATTTATCACTAAGGGTTTTCAATAATATATAAGATCTCCTGATACCTTTAAAATATATAAAAATGATTTTTAAGAAATGTAAATATCAAAATGGATAGGCAAAAAGTTCTGTCATTTGTAAATAGAATCTTATGCTTGTAAATTATAAGATAATCAATTATATTAAAAATATTAGGAGATACATGAGAATCAAAAAAGATGGCTGAATATAAGGTCAATAAAAAATAAATCAATAGTTTTCTTATAAAAAATCAATAATTAATTTAAATGTGATAAAAATCATAACAATAGCAAATAAAACCATATAGTAAAAAATTAATAAGAAATAAAAAAACATCAATTTTTGGAGGCTTAGACTATTGATCTATAAAACAAGAAAAATATACTTCCTTCTTGCTCTTTTGAATTTTGGAGAAGGCTCAATGATTTGTGTGCTGGGCCCTAAGCATATGTAGCAAATGACCAGATTAAAAATTGCCATTCATGAAAGAATGAGAAATATTTCTGTACATTCCCATCTGGCTTTGTGGGTTTTGATCCAAAGCTCTCTCTTGCCTAAGAAAAGAATTATATGTGCTGAAGAAGAGCATTAGAAGATTTGAAAGTGGAAGAAGTAAGGACCTTTCTGAATATGGGACACATATGTGGTTGCCTTCTCAAGCCAGTAGGGACATGATCCCATTTCCATGGAGCACTGGGATATGGTCCCATTCCTTGCACACCTGAGACTGGGGTGGCTCACTGAGACCTGGGACAGAGCCATGACTAGGGAAAACATCCAGGTGGCTCAGTAGGAAATGAACACATGAAATCACCACCCAAAATGGATACATAGACGTAGAGGAGGAGTTAGTTTAATGCCAGCCACCAACACTGATGTTCTTCCAGTTGTTTTCTGTAGCTCCTCATTCACACATATAACCAATGAGTGGAGAGCAAGGTGCCTTCTACTCAACAAAGAAAGCATAACCTGAGATTGAATTTTCAATTTTCTAGCTAAGTGGGGGCTCAGAGCCAGTTAAGTTGATTTATAAAAATACAGAAATGTGATGTGTCTTGGAACCAGAGCAATGGAAACTGATGTTAACACATTCATGATTTATTTAAATCATCTCTGTTCAGTAAGAGAGTAGGGTGGTTATGATGATGAGCTTCAGGTCCACGTAGATGGGTTTGAGTCCAGTCTCTGCCTCTTGCTCCATGTAATAAAACTCAAAAACATTTAACTTCTCTAAATGTCAGTGTCCTCAGACAGAAAGTAATGATGGTTCCACAGCAATGGGTAAATATTAAATAATATTTATTTGTTAAAATGCTTGTCAAGATGCTTGGTACATAGTCTGTGCTCAACAGATAGTCAATGGGGTGATGAGTGGTGTGAACACTTCATGAGATTTGAAGTTGTATGGAGATACTAGTATGTCCATCAGCAGGAAGTTACTTGGGTTATATCTAAGGTGGAGTGAAGATCTTCTCTAGAGGTCCAGGCTTGCTGCTTTTAGATCAGGGAGTTGAGTTGGTACCCCAAGACTCAAGAAAGTGGATCATATATGCCAATCAACTATAGTGGGTTGGCCTTCATCATGCTGGCCCTCTGACCCTATGGGGAAACTGGCTCTCTGACCCTATGGGGAAACTGACCACTTGTGTCCTCAGAAACCACAGACTGACAGGTAGTCCCCAAATTTGGAATATCCCAGAAGTCCACCTGTTTCTTTATGCTTTACCAGAACTGCTAATCGATGAGACTGGACAGGGAGTGGGCTGCAGAGAAAGAATAGAGGTAGCCAGGAAGCAGGCACCTTCTGTGTGATTTTGGAGGGATCTTCCATCCCAGGATCTCACTGTTACCACCTATAAATGAAGGAACTGGACAAGAGGAGGAAGAAAGAAGTCTCCATCTTTCAACAAAGGGCAAAGGTAGCAGTGGCTGCCTAGAGAGCAGTGCTGAGAGGGAGTGCCAAAGGGCATGTCAGACTGATTCGTGATCAAGGGGGAAGAGGGAGGACCTTAATGGGGAGTGGAGTGGCTAAGAATGCCTCCAACTTGAATAACCACAAATAAATGTTGTTGAAAAGGATATACAGGTGGATCCACCCACAGGTTGGCGACTGAAAGCTAGGTGGGACCCTATCTCTCCTGTGGCATTGATGCCTGCTCAAAACTCACAGATGGTCAGTCTGTATTGGTTGCAGTTCTTGTCATTCCACTGCCCATCTGTGTACATCTCCACACACTTTTCTTTGCCCCGACCCTTGGGCTCCCCAGGGTACCAATTGGTGTAATTTATAGGCTTGTCATCCAGGTAGTAGAAGTCTCCAGGGGTGGGGCCCTCCGTCAGGCCCAGGTAGGCATAAGTGTTGTGCTTCTTCACGATGCTTGCAATGGCCGCATTCTCTTCTGGATTCTTCGGGGCTGCAATTCCGCCGCCAACTCTGTTACACGTCTCTTTAATGGCATCAAACTTGGCCGACTGCCCATTGGTGGCAAAGACCTTCTCTCCCACTATCAGCAAGGAACCCAGCAAACTGAGGACTGAGAGCAGAGGAATCTGGGTCAGGCCACTGGCCTCTTTGTCTCACTTGAACTCTCTGCCTTTATACTCTCTCCAATCTCTCCACCTCTGCCTTTCTGTCTTCCCTCCGTCTTCCAATCCTTGTCTTTCTAAATTCTCCTCTGTGTTCTCATCATTCTGTTCATTCACTCATGCGTTTAACAATTACTTATTAACTGTCCTATTCTGTGCCCCAAACTGTAATTTATGGAATTCAATGGAAAACAAGATAGGCAAAGACCTTGTTTTCCCATGATGTAGGGAACTAATTGGTGTCTACCTTTGTCCCCTCTGGACCATCAAAGACATCAAAAAGGGAAGCATCATTATTTCCCCCAAGACATGCATATCCATAACTGTTTGTCAAGTTGCTAAGTTCTGGAGCCTGGGGCTGAGGATGAGGGGACCTTATGGGAGACCCTCTGTCCTGTGAGACCTTAAGCGGACCCTTACCTCCCTTTGACTGCGAGATTTGAAGACGGAGGTCGAGGAGTTTGCTTTGGAGCTCCTCATCCTCAGAAGCTGGAAGCCCTGTAGAGAAAACCCCATCCAGAATGAGGGCAAGCCAACAGCTGTGATACTATCATAGCTGCGAACCTGGCATTCTTCCCTCTACTTGTCCATACCTACTGCCCAGGACCCAAGTCAAAAGTTTCCACTACACTGGAGTATGCTTCCACACTCCCTATCCACCTCTCCTTTCACACAGCCTTGCACCTGCAGAGCTCTCTCTGCTCTCCTCTCCTGCCACAGCCTTTGGTGGCTGTCTACCCACCTCCGTGGGTTTTTCTGGTTTCTGGGCAGAGCCCCTCCCCAGGGCAAGTGTGGTTCTCTGTGCACTCTCCTGATGGACCTGGATTACTACTCAGCGCTTCGGACTTTCTCTCTGCATGTGGGGCTTCCAATCACACCATCTGCTTGAATCTTTAGCCCACATATCCCCTACACCCTTCAGAATTCCCCTAGTGCCTCACCCCTAAGAAGTGCCCCCAGGACCACCCATTTCCCATACCCAACATCCTGTGCCTCCTCTATGGCAGCCTTGATACAACACCCATCGGTCCCTGCATTGTGGCCTACCCCACACACACCCTTTTAATGTCTCTTATCAATCTCAGATTCTTTTATTTAGGTTGAGCAATATGCCCTCCACGGTTCTGTCTGATCCCCATCATACCTCATGTGACAATCGCATGGACACTGTGTCCATGTTGCCACTGCCTGCCTTCCCCACCTTACTCACCTGGAGGGCCTCTTTCACCAGGTTCTCCTTTGTCTCCACGCTCACCAGTGGGGCCAGGTGGTCCTTCCGGCCCATCACGCCCGGGAAAGCCTGGCATTCCTCCCGGGGGGCCCGAGGGGCCTGCAGAGAGAAGGGGACATGGATGCATGGCATTGATCACACACAACAGGGTTGGACTCCCCTGACGGGACCTTCATTATCAGCCAGGCTGAGTCATCTATCAGTGCATGGGCACTCTGAGGAGAGAGCCTCCATGGCTGCTCCAGTCTAAGGGCCCTAGGAAACACCCACCATGCCTCACCATCCAGCTGACCCTTAGGCCCCCTCCAGAGCCCCAAATACACTGGGCTCCTGAAAATAGTCACTGTCCCTCAGATAAGGCAGGGGTCTCCCAGTCAGTACCTGGAGGTCCGGGGTCTCCTTTGACACCATCTCTCCCATCTCTCCCATCTCTGCCTGGCGAGCCGTGGGATCCCGGAGTGCCAGGGATGCCCGGGCTTCCAGAACAAACATCCTTCACCTCACACTCGGTGCCAGAGACCACCATCAGGATGAAGGTGAGGGCCAACGGGCACAGCAACATGGCTCCTGCTCCAGCTGCTCCTCCTGCAGAAAGGAAGGGCTGTCAGCCACCTGAAGCATGTGCAAAGGTATTCCCCTCCCCTCACACCGCTGAGCCTCAGGGCCAGGTACAGACAGGAGCTCTGGGAGGATCCTCGGAAACTCCCAGCATCATCTGGCATCTGACACTGTCTCATGCCCAAGTTCTCTGCATGAGGTGGTGAAGTGCCTGAGCAAGTGAGGTACACAGTAGAGAGCTCTAGAGAGCCAGAGGCCCTCAGCTCTAATGGGGTCTCTGTTTGCACCTGCAGGGTGACCAGGGGGAAGTCTCTCTATCACTCTTCATTCAGCTGAAACTTCCGTGCCCTGGAGACAATCCGCCCTCCCCCCCCAGGCTGCTGAGCAAAGCGATGTGGCCACTTACTCACTCCATCTGTCCCTGGTGCTCTCAGCTACCCTCTTCTTGGGGTCTAGCAGTGATTCTCAACCTTCCTAATGCCATGACCCTTTAATACAGTTCCTCATGTGGTGGTGACTCCCAACCATAAAATTATTTTCGTTGCTACTTCATAACTGTAATTTTGCTGTCATGAATCGACATGTAAATACCTGTGTTTTCCAATGGTCTTAGGTGACCCTGCTAGTGGTTCTCAACCTGTGGCCCGAGAACCACTGGTTGAGAACTGCTGCTGTAGAGCCTAAGACCATTGGAAAACACAGATATTTACATGACGATTCATTAGCAGTAGCAAAATTACAGTTGTGAAGTAGCAATGAAAATAATGGAAGGGTCGCGGCATTAGGAAGGTTGAGAACCACTGGTCTAAGGGATCATGCTCCTGAGGATGAGTGAAGATGACCAGTGTCCATGGCCTGGCACTCCAAGATGGCCAATGATGAGGAGACCCCCTCCTAGTCAGGTGACCTCTTCTTAGCAGGCTGTTCTCTGCTCCCTGTCAGGGCTCGCTGAACTCCTGGTGTGAATGAGGAGCCCAGCAAGGTATGAGAAGGTGACTGCTGAGCTGGTTCCCACTGCCTGCGACCTTTGCCCTGGGCAACACAAGAGGATGGGGCTAAACTCACCCACACGGGGCCCACGTGGATCTCTGCCTCCAGCTCAGCGTGGAGGGTGGACAGCAGCATTTATACGGAGGTAGGTGAGCACCTTCCTCTCCACCGGGGGAGGCTCCTGTCACAAGGGCCTCCGCCCCGTGCCGGAAGCAGCCATCCTGTTTACACAGCACATTTCCTCAGGGGCACTCAGCCTGGAGGGGCACTTAAGAAGCCTGCAAAGAGCAACCGCAGGTCTGAAGAAGGGACACTCCCCTCCACCAGTTTCCAAGCAGTGAGGACGAGGGCACTCACCCAGGGCCCGGAGAGGCACGTGGCAAGGAAGCCCTCCCCTCTGGCCGTGGCGCCCATCCTGGCTGGTGACACACCCACTGGCAAGCATCACCAGCCCCTGAATGCCCACCACCAGCAGAGAACATCCCAAGACTGGGGTCTTCCCAGGAGAGCAAGGGGGCAGCTCAGCCACCAGGGATCTGTCCATGGGGCCAGGTCGGCCCCAGAGCCTCCTCAGCTTGGAGGGGTCCACGTGTTCCAGGAGGTGCAGAGGCCCTGGCTCCAGCTGAGGGTGGTCAGGCTGGCCTGGAACTAACTGCCTGTCATGGGGTGTGCCCAGCACTGACCCCCCCCCTCCCCCAGGCCTCCCCGCTCCTGCTTCCAGAGCCTGCGGCTGAGGAGGAGGGTGCATGGCTCAGAGTCACTGGTAGTGACTGTGGCATCACAGGTCATGCAAGTCCCCTTGCTGCCCACTGGCAGGTTCTGCTGTGGGGAGGCAGGCAGGGCCTGGAAGTCCCAGGAGAGCGGCAGCTTCTGCCTTTGGCCATGGGTGGTGTCTGATAGCCTGCAAAGCTGATGTCTTTAAGTTGTGGAATCGTGCATGAAGCCCTACTTGATGAGATCCTCTATTCAAACCACTTGATTAGGAGGGAATCTCAAATCATAGAGTTGGTGACATGGGAAACCAAGACAAGAAAACAGCCGAAACCGGTTTGGCTCAGTGGATAGAGCATCAGCCTGCGGACTGAAAGGTCCTGGGTTTGATTCCAGTCAAGGGCATGTACCTGGGTTGTGGGCACATCCCCAGTAGGGGGTGTGCAAGAAGCAGCTGATCAATGATTCTCTCTCATCGATGTTTCTTACTCTCTATCCCTCTCCTTTCCTCTCTGTAAAAAAAATCAATAAAATATATATATTTTTTAAAAAGACAAGAAAGCATTGCCATGCTGACTTGTAAGTGGTTTGAAAAAATCTCAAGGTCCTTGGGAAGAGCCGGAAGACTTCCGGGGAGCGGGAGCTCAGCTGATGGAACCCCTCCTAGGGACAGGAAGCCAGCCAGAGCCACTCAGAGTGCTGAGTGCTTCCAGCTGCCCAGCAGCTGCCAGCCACGTGCCCTCAAGTGGGTGCCAGGCCAGGTGGATGGGGGACAGATTAGGTCAATGGGGAGCAGTTCCAGCAAAAGGACTTCAGCGGGGCTTTGGGGGAGGCAGGCGGCTGCACAGGTGACCGACCAGGGAGAGACCTTCAAGGGCCGATTTCAAAGGGCCTGGAGAGGCAGCTGTGATGTCAGGGGCCCAGTGCTTGGTGAGGGAGGGTGTGGGTACAGGAGCCAGACACACCTGAGTTGCAATTTGGTGCTGCCATTTATTATCCAGGGGGCCTGGGTCAGATCATATAAACTCTCAGCCTTGGTTTACCCTTTTTTTTATTATTATTATTTTGAAGGAATAACAAACCTAGAGAAAAGTTGCAAGTACAGTACAGATTTTTTTTCTGAATCTGTTAGAGTAGGTGGCCAATATGATCCTCCATCATGCCACAACTTTAGTTTATATTGCACATAAACATTTGTTAATTGGTATGTTTTCCTATACAACAGCAATATAACCATCAAATCAACAAATTAGCATGATTCAGATATTATTATTTTTTAAATATATTTTATTGAGTTTTTACAGAGGGATAGAGAGTTAGAAACATCGATCAGCTGCCTCATGCACATCCCTCACTGGGGATGTGCCCACAACCAATGTACATGCCCTTGACTGGAATCGAACTTGGGACCTTTCAGTCCAAAGGCTGACGCTCTACCCACTGAGCCAAACCGGTTTTGGCTCAGATATTATTTTTATTAAAAAGTGATATAATATCATGGGGCATTTTATTTAAACATGTAAGTTACCTGCTTAACCATTGAAGTCACTCACGTAGCTTAATGGCAATAAATAAACATGAGTCATACACAATTCTAATGAAATGACTATGCATTCAGCTACCTGGCCCTCCTCCTCCTTTGTCCTGGGTCCCACCCTCTCCCTCTGCAGCCTCTCTGAGGAGAACGCTGCAGGGCACAGAGCCGAGGCCACTTTCTATGGCTCTCTCTCTTTGATCATTTTTATCTCGTCTGGAGTGCTCTGACTGTCCTTTCTGACACACAAAAGAAAGAAGAGAGAGAGAATGAGAGAGAGAGAGAGAGAAAGAGAGAGAGAGAGAGAGAGAGAGAGAGAGAGAGAGAGAGAGAGAGAGAGAGAGACAACATTACCCAGGTCTCCTGGAATCCACTTTAAATTCTCTGCCATAATATCCCCGCAGTCAGAAGGGTATGTTCATTTTAATTGTACCTAAAGACAAAGGGATGAACAAGGTAATTTACTGCTTATATGTGGATCAAGGTCTAATTCCAGGAATCTAGGGGAAAGCTCAAACACATGAAGGAAAGAATTTGAACCTGTTATTCCCAGAAACCATCAACACACTCACTAAACACATGCATATTACACTGGTGCCTTTCCAAGGAATGGCATTTCATTAAAAACCATAATAAATTTATTTCTGGCACCTGAAAAGGACAGTTTGTTTAACAATTCACGTTATTTGTTTTTCTCTTAATTTTTTTTTTTTTTTTTTTTTTTTTTTTTACCAGCACAGCTTTCCCACTTTCCTCTCTGCCCTCAGCATGTTCAGTACTGGCCTGTGTGCTTTCCAAACGCCAGAGAGGCACATCGTGTTTCAGGCGTTCTAACCTTTATTGAAGTATAATATAACTGACCTAGCACTGAAGTTTGGGTGTAGGTGTGGACTTGAGACACACATATGGTGAATGAGTCCCACAGAAGGTTAATACCTCATCATATCCAATAATTACCATTTCTTTTTTTTGCAGTGAAAACATTTAAGATCTACTCAGTAATTTTCATATATAAGATCTACTCAGTAACTTTCACCCAAAAGTATTATACATATTGGGGTGCTGTTAACTATAATCACCATGCTGTACATTAGATCCCCAGGACCTGTTTATGTTTTAGCCGTATCTGTGCCATTTGCCCACCATCTCCCATTTCTCCATCCAGCCCCTCGTAACCACCAGTTTACTCTCCGGGTTTTTCAGATTCCATGTGTAAGTGATAGGCACAGTATTTGTACTTTTCTATCTGACTTATTCCAGTTAGTATAATGACTTCAGGGTCCACCCACATTGTTGCAAACAGCACAAGTGCTTTCTCCCTCGAGGCTGAATAAAAGTTCATTATATATACTAGTGTATATGCCCCACCTTTATCCATGCGCACATAGACAGAGGTTGAGGCTGCTTCCATCTCTGACTGTCATGGAAATGCTGAAGTGGGAGTAGGCTTCTGTTGGAGAATCTGTGTTCATTGCTTACTTGGAGTGTAGACTAAGATAGCTGTCTGGGCAGTCCCTCACGCCCAGTCCTGCTGTCCTCAAGCCCATTTTTGGTGCATCAAATAATGTGATCATTCTCTTAAAACAAAAAAACAAGATGGGGTCTGAATTCAAATATTCTTAGAGTTTCCTGTTTTCATCATGGAAAAAACAAATCTTACTGTGTTCGCAAGGGCCTTGTTACCTGACCCTTCCACATCACCCCGCCTCATCCCCTCACGGAAGGCTTCATAGCAGATGGAACAAGAGAGAAGGACCCTCACACAGGGT